ACACAGAGAGAGAGATCCACTTACTTTAAGAGTAAGTCTTGAAAGATTTACTTCACTTAATAACTCTAAAATTTTTAAAATATTTGAAAATCATATAATACTTCATTATATAGATTCAAATCAACATATACAATATGTTTATGATTATCTGCCAATTTAAATTAATAAAAAAAAGTATATTGGGGAATCTCTCCTCTATATATATGTGTATGTGTGTGTAATGATTCGTCATGGTTACTACATTTTATGGAACATGAAAAATAATTTAACTACCTAAAATTAACAAATAAACAATTCATAGATGTCACAATGACAATATATATACATACATGCATAAAGGTTGCATCATCAACTAACCTATATATATATATATATATATATATATATACACACACACATAACTGGTTACATTAGAGTAACCCAAGAAAATCAACAAGAAGTCATTCATTAGCATGGCCTCACAAATCACAACCTACCTCCAAGTAATCTTGCCTTCCTCTCATGTAAACATGATCATCATAATCCAACTATAAGGTAGAAACATGCAAGGGTAAGTTAGATTTAAAAGAATATTCATACAACAAATATAGAAGTAAAGACAACTATACTAATCACCAACACCAACGTGTAAACTAACAATAAAGCACCTAATGGTCTACAACATACCCACACAACAAAACACCTCAACATGACATCCAATACTTTATAAAGGTAAACAACAATTTCATCATGAAATTTTTTTCATGTGGAAACTATAAACTTTCTAATTTTTATCTTCCATTCTTTTTTTTTCCTACATAAAGAAAACAAAATGTCTTTATACATACTCTTTATTTTTTTTATACTACTCTTTTGATCCATTTAAATAAAGCATAAAGGAATATTTTTTCCTCTTTCTCACCATATTTCTTTCTCTTATTTTCTTTTTTCATTTCTTTCTATTATTTTCTTTTTCCATTCAAATAAAGCCTAACAATTCTTCTCCAAGAACTCAATACTGATATCATAAGCATAACAAAATAAATTAAAAAATTATTACAAATAAAAAGGATGTTTTGACCAATTCTCTATTGAATGTTTAAACAAGCAATTGTTAAACCAAAGGTAGTGAGTTAGTAAACACTGAGAATCCTTATTGTCTTTGGTAAAGGTATGGTCATATGTGAAGGGTAGAGGCAGTGAGTGAGAAAGAGATCTGATATGGGTGGTATGATCAACATAAGGAAAATGGTCTTCATAGAATATGACATTGCATGAAGTCTTGATGTTGCAAGTGTGAAGATTGAAAGTGAGGTAACCTTTTGTGTGTGGTTTAAAGCCAAGGAAAATGAAAGGGTTGGCTCAAGGATCCCATTTTTAGATGGGATGTAAGAGTGCTAATGTAGCAAAGGCATCCAAAATCTCAAAGTGTGGTAATGTCTCATGGTTTTCCATATAATTTTTCAAATGGTGAAATGTGAAATATGTTGCATGCATGAAAGCGATCAAAACACCAAAAGGATGAGGGAAAATTTGATTGAAAGAGAAAACAATGTGTAGCGTTAACTTTAAAAGATGTTGATGTTTGCGCTCAACAATGTCATTTTGTTGTGGAGTTTCAATGCAAGTAGCTTGATGTATATATATAATGCCTTTAGATTCAAAATATTGATTCATTGAAAACTCAACTCCATTGTCAGTTCTCATAATTTTGACTTGTGTTTCAAATTGGTTTTCAACTTGTGTGATGAAATTGATAATATGATTACAAGTTTCAACCATAGTCATCATTAGAGAAAACCATGTAAATTGTGTGTGATCATAAAAAATGGTGAGAAAAAAATTATGCCTATGCATGAAAATTTTTGAGCATGGTCCTCGGATATCTATGTGATGTAAATTAAATGGACAGGATGCATGAGAATGACTTAACGAAAATGGGATTTTCTTTTGTTTAGCATGATGAGAAGTGTTACACACAAAATTTTTATTACTATATAACCATGGATAATATTGTTGTATATAATTTAATAATTCATATGAGAAATGGCCTGTGTGAAAATGCCACAAATCAATGAATTGAATATTACATTGAGATGAACAATGGTTGAGTGTAACAAGGGTGGTTGAAAAGTTGCAATAGTAAATGTGTAGAAACCTGCATTCTCATCAATTGTACCAATCTTCTTCTTGGTTTTTACACCATGGATAATACATGAGTTTTGAAAAAATGTTAGTTGACAATTAAGTGATGAGACTAATTTTTACATGGAAATTAATTTGAACGTATATAAAGAACATTAGTTAAGTAAAAAGACTCTGTAAACTTAAACTATGCCAGAATGAGTTGCAAGAACTTGTTGACCTAGGGGTAACTTGACAACAACTGGGTTAATGGTGTTATATGTAAAGAAGTAGGAAAGTGAAGAATACACATGATAAGTGGTGCTTGAATCTAAGATCCAAGATGTTGTGTGTTGTGTGTTGATAGAGCAAATTATTAGACAATGGTTACCTAAATAAGACAAGGGTTGTGTGAGACACATGGAAATGGATCCAATTTGGTTAATGTGTAAATAATTTTATGTCAAGCTTCCACTAGTGTATTGTTGGCTTGATACCATTAAGGAGAGAAGTGAAAATCCTGGTACTCAATAACTTGTTGTTGATTAGGGTCAATGACTTTACAATCATCCATCCCCGTGTTGTTCACAACTACATTTTTCCCATTGTAAAATTTTTTTTCATAAAGAAAATCCGTGTTTTTGGTTGCAGACATCCACAGTATGATCATTCCTCCCACAATGGGTGCAGATTTTGCCATTTCGATTGGACAAACTCTTATTGCCTTTAGCATCATGGTTTAAAGGAAAACCATGTTTGCAATAGCAAACATTCTCAGTGTGCCCAATGCGTCCATAATAACTGCACGTGGGAGATGAACTAGTTGCATTGATCGTAATTCCCTTTATACCAAGGCTGGCAACAAAATTATTTCCCAAAATTTGTTGTTCTTATTGTGCAACATATGAGAAGATCTTGGAAATTGGTGGTATTATATCCATGAGGAGAATATGAGATTTTACATCGTTGTATTGATTGTTTAGTCCACGCAAGAACTGCATAGCTTGATCTTCAAGTTTCCACTGAGCAATAGTGGGTAAGACAATACATGAACATTTCATCATGCATGTGCATATAGGATTAGGTATGAAATTCTCTAATTCATCCCAAATAATTCTGTTTTATGAAGAACCCAATCGCAAAAAGATCACCTTGCCTTGTCAAAGAAGCATCGAGTTGTAGATCTAAGATACGAAGGTGATCACCTTGAGAGTAGCGAGCTTTAAGATCCTTCCATATCTCATCTGCTTTGTCCATCCAAAGTATGCTTTAACAAATCGAGAGAGAAACCAAATGGACAAGCCATGATACCACCATGTTATTGCATCGACGCCATGCAAAGTATGTATTGTCAGATTTTGGTGGTTGTAGAACACTTTGATCAATGAACTCTACTTTGTTCTTCACATTAAGAGTAGTAATCATTAATGTGCTCTTTGAATGATAATTGCTAGAATCAAAAATAGGTGACATAAGAGTCATTGTTGGATTCTTACTAGCATGAAGATATAAGAAACTGTGAGCATAAGGTGTTTGATTTGTTTCTTCACTTATTTTTAATGAGAATAAAGGATGAAGACAATGCAATCTTAAAAAAAAAAAAGTTGAGTGTGCAATAGAACTCTTCAATTGAAGAGTTTTGAAACCATAACAAAACTTCACTTGAAAATTGAACAAGACGAAATGATTAAAAACTTAAACTTTATTATTGATAATGAACTATATATATATATATAATATATATATATATATATATATATAATAGATAAGAAGAACAAACTAATAGAAAAACAGTTATAAGATGTAATAAAAAGAAACTAACTTCAAATAACTAATTATAGATAGGAAGATTGAAAAATGATTTAGTGAATTGTATAGAGATTGTTGAATTGCATTCCTTTTAGCCTTATTTAGTGAGACTCAATTGTTCAAGTTCATAAACAATTATGCATGACATATGATCAATTACGACTAATTTCTGTTCTCCATATAATTACGTACGAAACTATGATTTACCCCAAAAGCTATAAGAAATTTAGACATCAACAAGTTCATAAACAATTATGCATGACATATGATCAATTACGACTAATTTCTGTTCTCCATATAATTACGTACGAAACTATGATTTACCCCAAAAGCTATAAGAAATTTAGACATCAACAAGATTTGTCTGTAACGCTGATAGAATAAAACAAGGTTACACCGACAGCTTACCTAATCATTTGAAGAAAGATTGTTAATTTTATTCCGAAGACGTAATGATTGATGGAGCCTTCTTTGACACAAATTTTGGCGTTAAGATAAGGACCTACATGAAATTGGCCGAGGAAAAATATATCCAACACTCAAGCTCCAACTTACATTATTTACTTTTGCACACGTACAACGTCAAATGTTAATTTTTTTTAGATGTAGAAATCAATAAATTTACTTCTCTCGGCAAGTATTTCTATACACACGATTATATAATTGCATTTCTGTCTATACTGAAAAGTAACCACTAAATTTACCTCTTTGAATAAAGTATTTTCCATACGAAAATCAAATTTCTGTCGATATACAGAAAATAATACAGTCATCGAAACTTGTTAAATATTATTTTTTAATCGTTATTAATTTGCCATTTAAATATCATCCTACGATGTGACTTCTGAACGAATGAGAAGGAAAACCAAAACCAAGAAGAAATACACCACGAGAAGATGGGGACCAATTGATAAAATTGGCTACGGGACTCCTCAACCTCGTTCAACTGCCTTCACCCAGAAAGAGCAGTGAAAAATGTTGGCATTTTGCAGTTTGGCAGACAATGATCTTGTTTTATTTACCTTCGGCAGGTTTATACAATAAATCCGTGAAAAGAGCTGCATATTGGTATTGTTAAACGAATCAGGTTCCAATTCCATCCACATGAATTAACTACTTTTACCCACCGAAATGTTGGTGACAACCAGTTTTTTCAGAGAATAATTAAGTTCGTTTCATGCAGGCAGATGAAGCCATTGCAATTGCTAAGAGACAAGAAATATAAAAAATAAAAAATAAATCTTGTAATCAAATAATTCAATTAGGATATCCTATTAGCCAAATAATCAATTAAGGCAGTGAAGTCAGATTGGGTATGCGGTTAGCTGCCCTGTCTTTAGCCTCGCCTCATCTATGTCCCCGCCTTCCTTGTCCCTCAGCATATTTCTAGAACCTCTCCGAATAAACACTATTAAATGAAAAATTAAAAAAAAAAAAAAAAAGTTACATTAATTTATATTATAATAATTGTGGCAGCAAACATGTCAATGTCAAAATATTGATTTTCACCATTAGCCCATACAATGAATCATAGGCCCAAGCATCCGTTGCTACGTCCTAATCACTGTATATTATTATCTTAAACCCGACAATAGAGCTTTAATTCATGATTTAATTTACAATCCGAGTATTATATTATATAGCCCCAGCTAGACTGGCAAGGCTAAAAGCCAACGACGTTGCTCACATATGCATAATTTGGATAGATTATACCCAACCTACTTTAAATTATATTATTTGAGACAAAATACAATGAAATGATAGGCTCCATTCTAACGGATCACAAGTATTTTTCACAATGGCTTCTTCCATTATACTCTCGAGTACTTTATGAAGAAATTAAAAAACACCTAACGAACACATGGAGCCCGGAACAACATAGAAGACTCCAAGTAAGCGAGTACGTGTGATTCGAAGGGCAAGAGGAATCGGTCCCCGCACCCTCTCATTAAGCAGACGCTTACAAGCAACAATGACATCAGGATCTGTCAACCCACATATGCATTGAACTTGATTTGTTCAACCTCCTACCTATGCTCTCATCATAACTCTTTTAAATGTGTTTATCTTTGAAATAAAAATTACATTATCCATCGGTGTCGATACTTGTGGGGGAAATTGAAGAGAGGATAATAGAAAGAATTGGCGAAAAGGACAAAATGAGAGACCGACAATAAGGAACGCAAAGTAGGTAAGATAGCTCATAAGTGTTCCGCCACTGCCACCGCAGCACTGCTTCCCTAAGAGATTCCGCGAGCTTAGCCTTAAGCTTAGTTGCCAACGCAATCCACTAACTCATTGGATTGTTTTCATTCCTTATTTGGCTACTGCTGCCGGCACAATGCAGAATTGCAGATACCCCCCAAAATCTTAATCTTAAACTTATGCTGTACCTTCTGTGTTCACTTTGGCTTCTAGCTATTGGTAAACGTGGACGACTAAGCTCTACACTTCAAAATATGTGTCTATCTCCTCTCGCTTATTATTACGTTATTGACTAACTAAAAATGAACTACAATGGATAACTCTAACAACAGTTCAGCTGCACTCTCTTCTTTGCTCCCAGTAGCAGCAAAGTAGCGGCGCCAATTTCCCAATACAAACACAAATTGATTATTTGAACTATATTTTTAAAACAAAACGGGACAAATGCAAGTTTTGCACATGGGCAACCGCAACCCAGGCCACCAACCTTAATCACACCCTGGTCGGTCTTAACCGCTTGGCTGGTGAACACAATCAAGATCATTCATGAAACAAGAGCAAATTCCTAATAATGAAACCCTAAACCAGACACACACCACACCTGACACCATCCATCAAAATTAATTAATAGTGTTATGTGATGACAGTTGCAGTGATTTAAACTAACGCGTTTATTAAAATGCACAATTATTGTGTTCTCTTCCCAGTCCCCACTAAACTCAATTAGACAGAGTTGTATCCTAATGTTCATACTAGTACAGAAAGTTAAGCACGGTTGAACTTGAAATACGCACGATAAAACAAATTAGAAAAACCACCCGTCTCTTTATTTTATCTTATTTATTTTCAGTCCAAGAAGCAGAAAATAGAAGATAGAATACAAATGACCTGAGAAACGAAGAGTAATATAGGGAAGAAAAGAAAAAGTAATGAAAAATGGGTAGAGTAAATATCTGATCTGTCTGTTCATAGAGAGGAGAGAATAGAAGAGAAGAGAAGAGGGGAGAAAATAATAATGAAAAGAAAAAATGGAGCGAAATGAGAATTAAATTAAATGAAGAGAAGTGACAAAAACAGTGAAGGGAATTTACCGGCGACTACCCTGGTCACTGAGCGTGTCCGTACAAATCATAAGGGGCCCAAAGTGTATCAAGCGGACAGGGCCGTTTGGAGTCCAATCGAGTCCAGGGCTTGCCACTACCGGACCAATGCAAGAGGCTAACAGGCCCAGCATGGAGGTCACGGCAACTGCCCTTGACGTTATCGCCACCCAGCCCGTGCTGGTTCCACCTATGCTCAATGGGCGCCACGTGTCCCGCAAAGACCAAAAGAAACGGCGGCAGCGACCCCAGCTCGTAGATCCGATCGTGTTTCTGGATCTCCATCCACCTCTCTATCCTCCTGCTGTACCCGTTCCGCCTCCACCGCACCAGATCTATCACCATCACGCCGGTGTTGAAGTAGCACGGCCTCCGCCCGGCGAAGGCGTTGGCGAAGCGGGCGTCGGACCAGAACGCCGGCGTGAAATACTTAGTGAAGTTGGCGTGGCAGTACTCGGGGGCGCCGATGGTTCGGGAGGCGAGGCTGGTGGTCCAGAGCTTGGCAATGTCGTCGACGACGACGAGATCGGAGTCGAGGTAGATGACGCGGCGGACGCAGGGCTCGAGGAGATCGGCGAGGTAGTTTCTGGCGTAGTTGAGAGGCTGTTCTAGGGCTTGTCTGACGGAGGTGGAGATGAGGTCGCGCACGATCTCCGGATCGAAGTAATAGACCTTGAAGTTCAATTGAGGGAAGGTGGATTTGACGAGGGATTCGAGCGCCGCGTCGGAGACGAGGAAGTGGAAGAAGATGTTCTCGGGGCACTGGGAGTGCTGGAGGATGGAGTGGACGGCGGCGACGGAGCCCCGGAGGTATTCGACGTCGAGAGTGATGGCGACGTGGACGAGGGAGGGGTCGCAGACGGTGAGGGTGGCGGTGGGGTTGTTTGGGGAGGCGCATTTGGGGGCATTGCGGAAGGGCGCGGCGCGGCGGAAGGAGAGGGGGAGGGGGAGGCGGAGGAGGTCGGAGGAGCGGATGGCTTCGGCGGGGTGGAAGGATTGGAGGGAGGGGGAGAGGAGGATGAGGAGCATTGCGGCGGAGAAGAAGCCGGAGAATCTCATTAGCCAGAGGCAGAGCATTTTGAAGGGTAGGGTTGCGGTTATGTCAGCCAGCGTGGGAAATGGGGTTTGGAATGTCAATCGGAGTTAGGATGCCGTAGGGACGAAGCGATAGTAGAAGACGAGGGAGTGGGAGAGGAATCCATGCTAAAGTGCGCACCCTCTCCTCTCTTCCTCTTCTGTTTCCTCCCTCCACTCCCTCACCCTCACCCTCACCCTCACCCTCACCCTCTGCTCCAATATTAATATTGCAATTCTCCACTCTCACCACTGCCACCCACGGAGCACCACTCTCACTCCCCACTCTCCACCTTTCTTTCTTTCTTTCTTTCTTTCCAGCTTAGCTTAGCGCTTCCGATCGCAATTTCCACCATAGAAATCTTTCACGGCCCCAGACACACAATTATAACTTCTTTTTTTATATGTTTATTTTTTTATATTTCCTTTTATTTATTTATCATAAAAATCAAATACCTTTCTTCGCTCATTGTCAAATGTCAAATAGAGAGAAGGGCCTTTGTAATTGTGTGCAAGGACCAGCTGTCCCTCGGTTCTGTCTCAACTCACTATACTCTCTTGCCACGCTTTACAATTATGCTTATCACTCTCCCCACCAACAATATTTATTATTTACATTCAAATTTTCCCATTATTCTTCCATAAATTAATATAAACACAACCTTTAATAACTTTTCCCTTAATCGCTCTCTAGATTATCGCTGTCTTTAGGATTTTCATTTTCATTTTTTGGATTTTCAATCTAATTTTTAAGATAGTTGCGAATCATGTATCTTCCTTAATATAATCCGAACATTATGTTATTCAAACTTTTACTTTCTCAATAATTTTAACTTTAAATAACGTCGGTATAGATTTTTATCATATTCATCCGTTGTATTTAATGTACTGATATGTGTATGTGGTGTGTATATATATTATATGTAATGTTTATATTAATATATTGAATTCTCATATCAAAAGTTATTTTATATGTGTTCCTGTGTTAGGATATACACTTCAATTATTTTTGTTGTAGCGGGTCTGATCCAGGGTCTCAGTCTTCTTGTTCCTCTCCGAGCAGTCCGAAGTGAGGGGGTATCTGTAAAGACACTCCAACGCTCAAGTAAGTGTTCGACGTAATAAATGCGGTAGTTGAAAGTTAGTTATGTACCTCGCTGGGTCCTATTTATAGTGATTCTTATTGGGCCGCGATTAAGGACTGGGCCCCAGGAAATTAGGGGGCTAATCCGGTACATTACATAAATTAACCTCTCCATAATTATCCTGGTGTAAATCCGTGACTTGGTCGAGCACACCGACACGTTCCATTTAGATTGTGAGTGGTCGGTGGGCTCGGGTATTCGACCTGGTCGTCTACGGACTCGGGTATTCGGCCTAGTCAGCCACGAACTCGGGTATTCAGCCTAGTCGACCACGAACTCGGATATTCGGCCTAGTCAGCTACTATACGGTATAATATGAATATTAATACACATTCAAAATGTTCATTTTAAGAATAGTTCGATAGAAAATTACAAAATAAAATATTTTCAAAATTTAGAAACAAATATCGTCAATAAATTATTTCAAAAATACAATTAAGTTTAATGCTCACGTCAACATTATATTTATATTTAACAAAATGTTGACGACATAATTTACAACTTCCTTAAAACTTAGGGACAAATCACGGAAAAAGTAATTAAGTCTTAAAAAAATAAATTTTGAATTAATAGTATAAAAATTAAATTCTTTGCAAACATTTTTTCAAAATTCAAATCTTGATGTCATTTTTGTAATTTAGATAAATAAAAAAATATTTTTCTTAAAAAAATTTTATTTATTAAAATTTATAAGAAAAAATTACAAATTTGCGAGAAATAATCATTACATAAAAAGTAAATAAACTTTAATCAATTATAAAAATGAACTATTCATGTTTCTCTTATCCATAGTTAGATATAATAAATATTTATATAGGTAGTTATTTAACATATATCTTCTGCATAAATATTATGATGTAATGCAACATAAAAATGTACTCCTCTGTTTTGTATAATATTAAGGTAGATAGATCTAAAATAATTTTGAATTTACGTACATTTTGGTTATAAAATGATATTATTTTGGCTTTCAGATTGGTAGGCACCCAGAAGCTCGCAAGATTCACGACATTGAGTATAAAACCGAGACCCGAACCAAACTTGAAAATTTTGATAAAAATTATTATTTTTCGGTAGGTTCGAGTGGATTTTACAAGTAAATTGAGTTAAAATTTTGATTTTATACAGGTTATGTTAGGCGAGTTTGGTTTTAAATTTTTAAATTTACTAAAAACCAAAGCCAACTGAAAATGAGATAAGTTTATATTTTTATTATTTTTGTATAACTAAACAACAATGGTCCAAACTTAAACGTCTTTATTTAAAGTATAATATAGTCATCAATTTGTAACTTTTTTTTCTTTTTCTCATAACCTAGATATTTCTTTTGTCTTCTCCTTCTTCATTCAATTTCTCAACACACTAGTCTATTTTTAGATTTTTCTTTTTGTTTATTTCTTTATCTTTCTTTTTTTTCTTCCTATCTCTATTCTGAGTACAACTTGTGCGACAGTGGTTTCTTATAAATTTTGTAATCTAACTTTAGATTTTTTTTGCATGTAACAACAATAGATTTTGTTATCTTTTATTTTTTACTTTTTTAGTTTGTAAATGTTTCATTTACGAATCTACTTACATCATCTATTGTTACTTTCATTATATTTTTGTACATTATTTTAAAAATATTTTTTTATCATTTTAAGCTTCACTTTCATTAAAATAACTTAGTTCACAAAAAATCTCAAACCCAATTATACTCATCCGTCCAAATCCGAATGCATTACAACCCGAACTGCCTCAAATCAAAAGTTCAATCGGTCATATATAAGTCAAATTTTTCCAAAATCAATTTACAAGGAGCTAAATATTTTCACCCGAATCAGACCGAACCCGCCCATTGTCCAGCCGTACATGACACCTTGCTACAATAAGAAGCAGCTAGTTCGTTCGATATCTAAGGGATACCTGTCAACGGAGCTATCGTACAACTGTACAAGTCACTTTCTCTACCAAAATAAAAAGAGAAGTTTTTATTATTTTTAAGTTTTATCATTTACTTTTACATTTAAAAATATTTATTTTAATTTTCATGCATACTTTTTAAAAAAAAAATATTTCTCTTTAAACTAAAAAATAAAATTTATATAGTTATAAAAATTAAAAAGTAAAATTTATAAAATTATTGAAACTAAACAAATAATTAAAAAATTAAAGAAAAAGGACAGAAGGCGTGATTTGTTTATTATGCCAGCCTAATGCCACGCATTGAATATTTATCATTCATGACCTTAATTACACATATTAATAAATTAATAAATTACTATGATTTTTTAACCTTTCTTTTCACCCCTAATAAAAGATTAGTGTTTGTTTGTTTATTTGAAGCTAGGATTTTCAAAATATATATAGAGAGAGAGTTAAACTCCGTCTTTAATTAGACTCACGGTAAGTTAGTAACTCATATTTTTATTCTTCGATATTGGTTAATTTTCTGAAATTTGATATATTTGTAAAAAGTTATAAATGTTTGAACTTTTCTAAATGAAAAATCAAAATATGCACTAAAAATTATATTAACGAAAATACATTTCTTATATTAATTTTGTTTGACTAAAATATAGACGACAAAAAATGTTAAGTCATTTGGTGTTTTATTATCACTGTCTATATACTTTTTTTATTAGATTTGAATTATTTTTATCTAAAGAAGTTCTGTTGTAATATTTTCTCTTTTTTATATTTTCATTTATTTTTTTTAATTCTTATCTGTTTATTACACACCTATATGCAATTGAAGCATGTTTGTCAAGTTTCTATTATCTGTTTAAAATTAATTACTACATATGAAAATTAATTCTATGTAACTTATAATGCATTCATTTCTCTTTTCTTAAAAATTATTTATCTATTATGGGATTGATTTTTCTAATTATAAATACATATAATTATATAATTAAACTGTCATTCTTTTTTCATATGAAATTTATTCATTTACACTTAATATTTAACAATAAAATTTACGGTAAATCTTCACGCAAGAAAACTTTTACTTCCCAAAAACATTTTTTTAATGGAGCCTCATTTTCATTTCTGTAATATATATGAGCTAAAAAAGCCCAATGCTTATATAAAAATAAAGTTTAAAATTGATCATATTTTAATTTATTTATAAGTGAAAAATAACCCTCATTTTACAAGCTGATTTTGTAAGGTTGAGTTAGGCTCAAATCCACTATTCTAAGATAGTATCAGAACTATCGTAAATTCTTAAAAATGGACCACTCGCCATGCATACATGCACCATGAACACGAGGAGATGTATTCAATTGATACATGCACTATGGGCATGAGGGAGTGTATTCAAGTCCCGTCAATCCTAGATCATTAAAAAATGGTCACCTATCATTTATCTACGTACCAAGTCCAATAGTATTGAACGTGAAGGAGACGTACTGAGAAAAATCCAAGTCCCACATCAATTAGAGATTAGGCAATTAAATAGTATATAAATGAAAAACAACTCTCACCTTACAAGTCGATTTTGTAGGATTGAGTTAAGCTCAAATCCACTATTCTAAAATAACTTATTGAATCACTTCCATTAGATTTCTTCCTCTATTAATTTTTTACACCACTACACTGTCTCTTCTTCATCTTCATGGATCTACATTCTGCAATAGTCCCTTCAAGCTTAGTGCTTCCTATCCTCCGCATTTCATTTTATTTTGATTTATTATTTTACTTTTTAATGTAATGTAAGTGTTTTATATGAATTTGGAAAGAGTCATATTGTGTTTCAAATTATAACTTGATTGAAGGAGGTGATTATTTAGATTATAAAACTATTAGTAATTTTTAATTGATAATTTTTTATTTAAATTTTGTTAAAATAATTTAGTTACGATCAATATTAGGGATGGCAAAACGGGCCAGCCCGGCCCGTTTTGGCCCGGCCCGCCATTGGCCCTCCAAAAATGGGGCGGGCCGGATCGGGCCAACCCGCTAATGTAAAACGGGCTGGAGATGCTGGCCCGCCCC